AAAATAAGTCATTGGCTCCGGCGTTGTGCTTTTCTTTGTGTTTACTTTTGGGCCATTGGTCTCCGTTTTACATTTGTATGCTTTGCATTTCAAGTCTGGCTCCAGCATATCTCTTATTTTCTGCATCTGACCAAACCTCAAAATAGGAGGTAGATCCAAACCGACTGAAATTTCATTCGAGCCTGGACGCCAGATTCCCTGGAAAAGTTTGGAGCCTGATGCTTTTGGGACGTCACCGCTGCTTTCCCGAAGCCCCCAAGAAAGGCAGAAAACGCCGCAAGTATCTGTGAATTCTGACAAAAATAGATCCAAGGGCAAGCATATTTGTACTTGTACTGCGTACTAGACTTGTACTAGACTTCTGCCAAGCTGTGCTTTCGAGCCGGAGCTGCAGAAGCGTACTTTGCGTCACATGCACAACACCCGAACAACCACTATGTGCCACTCGGGCTGCGAAAACGTCTTGTGAGAAGGCCATGGTGTTTCGAGTTTCCGCGTCTTGTCGCGTTGTCGCGCGGCGGAAGCCTAAAAGCGAAACAGGCCGGGAACAGACATTGAGAGCAACCCTCACATACATATATATATATATATATATGTATACTATGCGTGTTTGGGGTCACCGGCCCCCCCCCTACTCTCGACGGTGGATAGATGTGGTCTCCAATTCTGAAACACAAAGCGAGGCTTGGTATGCTTTGTCGAACTTGGGGACTTGGCCCAGAGAGAAGATTGAGAGCGGTCTTCAAATTGGGGTACTGTATCCCACCCCGTTTGCTTTGGGCTTTCAGATTTTAGGTGTCCCCCCCCACTGAAAGAGCAAGAAAGAGAAGCAGATGGCTTTCAGATTTAGGTTTCCTTTCATTCGCGCTCCAAAGGTTTCAAATCGTGCTTCCCGAATTCAAGAGACGCCTTTGGTTGCCGGCATTTCTCTTCCAGGCCAGCGCTACATCACGGAGCTGCTCACCAATGGAAATGATCGCTTCGAGCAACACAAGCTTGGCAAGGTCGGGGAGAGCGTCGACGTGTGCATGAAGTTGATTTGCTTGGATGGTTCCCAATGGAAAAAGCTGAACTTTGCACCCTTCTTGCTTATACTTCTATTGTGGCTTGGAGCTTTGGGCTTTAATTATCATGATGGTGGAACTCCTGCAGTTGATAGGTGATTTATCCCAAGAGAGTTCCAGTCATCCCGACTGGTTCGAAGCGGATGTTGTCCATCCGCTGGAATGACGTGTTACCAGCCGAGTAAGCCAAGAGAGCAGCCGGAGAAGGAAGGCCAAGTTTTCGGAAGGAGGTAGCAGTTTCCCATCCGGTTCCTTAGGCTCTTAGAAGTTTCTCGTTGGTTTGGTGGTGGCTTCCGCTTTGAAAGTTCGACAAGCAGATCTGGAAACCGGCCGGGATGATGTTTGGGGCATACCCAGCTTTCTGGCGCGCAGTCTCGTGAAGCATGATCCTGCGTTCTAGCCGCTTTTTGCTGCTCGAGGCCGTTTCCTGGAATCCAGACCAGGACTGGAGTTTCGTCGTCGCACAGCTGTTGCCTTGAAGAATAGTTCCTCAGCCGGTCATTTCAAATTTGTGTAGTTGCCTCGTCCGTGATCTCGCAAATGGCCGGCGTCACGTGATGTCTGCAAGGAGGTTGAGCTGGCCATTACTCCAAGAAAACATTCGGAGAAGCCGGAGCCGATCGTGGAGGTGAACCCAACCATTGACGACACCGAGACTGAATCCGTGCCTCGCTTGCGTTGAGTCTCCCCAAAATGGCGGCTTTCATGTTGCGTTGCCTCAGCGCAAGTGGGTGCCCTCTAAAAAACATACCCTCTGCCAATTTTATAGCGATTCTCACCGATTCGGGGGAAAAGCGAGCTCACCATGATAAAGGTCCTGTACTGGGGGATCCCTTTCTAGTACAATGTGCAGAATATCAAGGAGCCATATAAGGAGCGCAAGAAAATCAAAATCCTATCAAGGAGCCATATAAGGAGCCCATTTTTTTTGATGAAATCCGGGGGACCTACGTACCTTTCGGGCTGAAGGGAGGATCCCTAGCTCTCGGCTCCCAGGCGATGAGCCGCAAGCGGAGGGCGAGCTTCTTGCTGCAACCGCCTCAGTTTCGTGTTCGAGAGAGAGCGACGGGTTCCGGATGGTCACGTGAGCCACGTGCTCAAAACCGATCCGGGGATTGGTGAAGCTTAAGGGACAATCCCCTTGCCATTAGCTGCGGATATCCGCCTTCCTAGTTCTTGAAGCATGGTTCTGGGACCATTTTAATACCGGGTTTTGATTGTGGCTCACGTGGGTTTAAAGGGAGATGGGGGAGTTTAAATCCATTTGTCCCATGGATTGGGAAGAGTCTCCAAATGGCTGACATCAATGTTAGTGAAGACCATACGCACATGTTGCCCGTGGTCGATTCTCAGATGGTGTTCACTGCCCCCAAGTCACTACCCCCACAGGTTGAATGGGATATGGGTGTGTCTTTTTGGGTGGGTACCCTTTGTTCGCTGGGCTGAAAGGGAGCTAGAAGGACAACCGCCATTTTTTGGTTTTTTTCGGGGTGGGGGTGGGGTCAGGTGCCCCAAAAACAGGGGGCGCGCCACCAGAGCCGAGCCGAGGAAAGGTACTGAGCTCCCCCTGCGCGAGGCCGGGAAAGCCTCGTTCGGCGGGGCTTCGATCGAAGCCGGGGAAGCTGAAGCCGTTTCAGGCCGACCTACCCAAATACCAAACGCTTTGTTCGGGAGATCGTGTGAACCTTCTGCTAAGAAAGGAGGCAGGTACCATGAAAGTCAAGGTTTGTCCCAAGAATTGAAGACACGCTGAGGAAAAAGGAGGAGAAAACACACAAGCCACCACAAACGCGAAGCGAGCAAATGGGTGGTTCTCAAAATCGAGGACTCCTTTATGCATTCTGTTGAAGGGGAACAAAAAGAAAGCCAACAATCCTCTAATTTCAGGCACAAATCCTTGATGCGAAGCATGGCAAACAGAGCCCCTGACGCTGTGCTGATCGCAGGTTTGGGCAAAGCACCTGAAGTTCAAAGACAGCAAGTCTATAGTGCTTGACTCGGGTCAGAGAAGCGGCGCTGCTTGCATCATTAGGGGGCTGGATAACTTGGGGGAGGGTTCCTAGTTGCTTTTAGTTGGTTTCGTGGTTAGGTTTCCATGATGTGTTAAACTTTGTAGCAGGGGATCTGAGGACAGCCCAGATAAGTGCTTGTTTTTTCCCAGGGCCCCTATTTGCCAAGCATCGGGGACGGTCCCAACCATAAAGGGGTGCGGATATCCGCGTCCAGGTTTTGATAGCTCAATTTGGGTGTTTCTTAAAACGGCCGGGATGCTTTGACCCCCTTTTGGTTGGTAAGCCAAAAGAGGACCACGTCTCAGAACCCCCTTTGGTTCAACAAGCTTCGCGCGAGGGTACCATGGCTCCCATGGCTCCAAAAACCCAAGCAAATTTGAGCACGGCATCCACGGCATCGGCTCAGGTCACCTCGCAGCCCTCCTCAATGACACAGGACACCAGTCCCCATGACAGCGCCAGTGGCGCTTTGGTTCAGATGAGCGGCGGAGTGGAGTGTTGTCAGTGAAAAAGGGCATTTTTCATACAAAGCGGAAACGCACCGGGGTGTCACTCGTCGTTTTTTAGAGTAGTTATAGTAGTCCCCAAAATGGCGCAACGGCTGTCCTTTTGGCTTCCCTTTACACCCCGCTAAAAAAGGGTGCTCACAAAAAAGGACCACGCACCACATATTCCCCGTGGCTTTCTTTTTTGACATCACTGTTCGGTGAGTTCCCCTTGGTGATGCCACGGGAAAGAGGTTCATGTGGCCCACCAATTTCCATTGACCAACATGGTAGCTGGCACCTGGTTTTTTGGGGTCATAGTGAGGCCTATTCAAAGCTTGATGGCCATGTTATTGGTAGAAACGAGACTCACGGCTTTTTGGCGCTGAGCATTTGTGTGTGTGTGTGTGGTTGTTTGAGGTGGATGTAGCCGGGTAGCACGCAATAATTTCCCCAGGAAACCAAAAGGGGACGATGGATAGGTTCATGCATTTGGCCAGGAAGTAGAGGGTGTATGTGATTGTTGAGGCTCGGTACCCTTTTCAGCTTGGCCAAAAAACAGAAGCCTGCCTTTTTGGCTGTCCCAATTCCTATTTTGACAACCTTCCCAGTTCCGAAGATCTTATTGCACAACAAAATAGACAAACGCAAGCACTTGTTGTTAGGCACTTGGTTGTGCGTGAAACCAAGAGTGTGCGTTTGTGTTCTCACTGTTGCCAGCCGAGGGCCGCTGCCGGTGAAGTTTGCAATGTCAACCTCCTTCGATAAGCTTCCCGCACCTCGCCTGCAGCTTCGCACCAGCAATGCCACATGTCCATCTGTGCTTTCAGGCGCCTGGTGGCTGCATTGCATACCCAGCGACTCGGATTTGAAAGCTGTGGCCCAAAAAGGCAAGGACTGCCCCGTGGATTTGCATCGTGCCACTTTGGAAAGCAGGGTTTCCTTGTCCGTGAGGAATTCCAGCTGAGGCGTCCAAGCAACGCGTGGCGTGGGATCTCTTCGGAGGCTTTCTGATCATCTATGATCTTTTTGTGCGACTCGGTCCAGTTAGCCATCCATCAAACCGGGCTAGGGACAGTCCCAACATGGCTTTGGGTAGACCACTTTGATATTTTGATTGTCAGTGAGCGCCAAGAAAACCGCCGGATGCCCATCTATGTGCAAGCAGAATTCGGGTCGTGCCGTTTTTTAGGGAACCCCCAAGCACTTCAGACATAAACTTTGGTTCCGTTGCCCCGTACCATCTCATGCCTCCCATAGACCCGGCTCATGTTGAACATGAGTGCCATGTTGCCTTCACCGCGCTTCAGCCAGCCTGAGGATTCCTTTGAAAGTGCCGATCTCAGACATCAGCCCATGAGTCAAGGGGCATGCAGGCTAGGAGCTACAGGCTGGCAGCTTAGGTCTTTGAATATCCAGATACTGTCTTCACAGACACTATGGACTGGATCTGCAATCATGCGAATGATGCCATATGATGCCTGCAAAACGCAATGTGCTAGTTGCTTGTGAGAAGGCTATGCTTGTGAGTTAAAATGAATTACACCCTCAAACATGGTTGCTGGCCCTACATCCCTATGTGACATATGTCTCAAAGTAGGGTCACCCAAAAAAAAAACTTCCTGGTGTCCCTGGCCGTGCATTCCCAAAAAAAATACCCTCCAAGACACAGGACACACATGCAAGTTTCCATGTCCGGTTCCCCAGTTCACGCCACAGGACTGGATGACGCTCTTGTTCTGGAGCCTCAACGTGGTTGCGACACTGACGGTGGGCTTCACGAAGCGAGGCGAGACCATCATGAGCCCGAAGCCTTGCCGGCAAGCTGATGGAAAGATTTTGACCAGCGAGGCACCAGAGATGGTGTATCCCAGTCTTCATCGGGATGTGAGGATGTTCTTTCCATCTGGCGCGAAGCGGATTTTTTTTGTCCATGCCGAGAGGGGAGGGAATTGCACGAAGTGCAGATACTTGGGGTCGGTTGCTGTTAGGCATCTAGACTGCATAAAGAGCATGGCCGAAGAATGTTGTTCCAATCGACCAACCGATCCCAGGAAAGACATTGCGACTCGGCCGCAAGGACTTGCAGTTCAGTGTTTTGGTGAATTTTGATGTGGCCTGAGCGAAAGTTGAGGGAGTTGTATCGCAGTTGGTTCAACCAAGTTCGTAAATTATTGCCGGACGTGGATGATCGTGGACATTGTGACGCTGGCTCCGGATTGGGCCTTCACCATAGTGCGGATGCTGAATCCCAACTTAGAAGGCAGGGTACAAGCGTGCGGGTAGCAAGCCAGATGGGTTTGTTTGCTTTCCTTTTAGATTCCTTTCAGTTTCCCCCCCAAAACTAACCTAAATAGGGTTCCCTCACCAAAACCCGGGTTTTGTTCGACAGAAACCCCCGATTCCAGCCGCGAGCTTCCAGAAAACGAAGGGTATCTCGAAGCTGAAGTTCCGGACCAACTCTGCCAGAGCTGTACCTGAACTGAGGCTTGCTGGAAATCAGAGTGGAAGTCCAGAGTTCCCCCCATCCACGAGGTTTTGGGCGGGATCCACAACCCCACTCTGAGAGGGGGGTTTCTGAATCGCGCTTGTCAGACACCAGCGCGCAGAGCGGCGGCGGTGGCTTTGAGGACCTGACCATGGGGGATCTCTTTCCATATCAAGTCGTTTTTTTGCGGCGGTCTCCCCGATGGTTTCATCAACCCCCAATTGCAGATAGATAGGCATACGGCATACGTACATGAAGCAACAGATGAATGAATATGAATCAGTGCATGTAAGAAGAAGACACACACACACATGACAAACCGTGACACTGATGTTCACAAGCAGAGTCCGGCGCAAAGCTACTTCCTCAGCCACCCGTTTGCTTTTTTGTTCCCGACACTGGCTCACCGAATGGATCACAGCTCCCTTCAGGAGGAGGGGGTGCGCCTCTTGCGCATCCTTAGATTGGCGCGCACAGCGCGGCTCCTTCGTCTCTTGAAGTTGCAGAAGGCGCATGCGGTTTCGCGTGGAACAGCGAAAAGCGTTTGTGCCACCGACCGGGCAATCACAAGGCAGCGAGCAAAGAGAGGCGGTTTTTCATCAGGGCTTCTTCAAAGATACATGTCGGCCGTGCAAAAGATCACGTGTTCAACCAAAGGAAAGCAGCTGTGTTCAGGAGAATCCAAGAACCCCCTTCTGAGATGTTTGCTCCCGACATGATTTTTTCCCCGTGGGCTGCGAAAAATCGAGATTGCACTGTAGATCGAAGCCAGACGCCTCTTGAGATTGCATGCAGGTTTCATCCATCCCCACTGGTTCCTGGGTCCGTCCGGGTAGTTTGGGCACTGATCAATTGGTCCTGGAAGCGTTTTCTGCCAGTAAGAAGCCCGAAACGAGGGAATGATCTCCCCAAAGGGAGATTACAGCTGGACCTGGGTCAGGGTAAATGATGTTTGAAAACAACCAGACCCTGGAGTCCACTTTAACAGGAAGCGCAAAGGTTGTGGTTCAACAGAAGCCAAGGTTCAACAGGGTGAATCGCCCCTCAACCTCAATTCCTGAATATTTTTGGCTCAGGAATAAGAATCAACTTTGTCCACAGTGCAAAAGGAGGAGTTTTCGGATTTCAGTGTGGTTTTGGGCTGTATCCTTCTACCGGAACCGAGTACACATGTTCAGTTCTTAAACTTATCTTTGGGGGGAACTTGTTGAGGGTGGTTGCTTTTGCCTTGAAACCACCATTCGGGTTTGTCTTTCTGCCGGTACCCTGGCGGGTAATTTGAAACGGACCTGACAAGGCAAGCCGCCCTTAGGGTTCCCTCAAAAAAGACACGCCCATTGTTGCACGGGATTCTCTACAGTCTCTACATGTTCGTTTTTGGCGGCTTTAAACATATCACCTTTGCAGCCATTTGAAGGTTAGTTTCCGCTTGGGGTGAAGGAAGAATCTGGGTACTGTTTGGAGGGTGCCTGTAGGTCATGGAGAAGCTCAGCGACTACTTGGACTCAGAGGTCGCGAGCATTACAGCAAACATCGCCCGGGCCTCGGGGCGGACGCGTCCACGCGCGAGATGGCGATCCGAGTCTTGCGAAATGGATAGCTGGTGCATGTTTTCGGTTGGGCCCCTCAACATGGCGCGACGGCTTTCCGAGCGCTTTCCCCTTTTAGACCACAAAAACCCAGGTGCCCTGGAAAAAAGACAGACCCAAATGAAACTGGCAACATCTCTTGGACTATGAAACTGGACCCTGAGTGGTAGGCTGGAGGAAAACAACTCCCCCGATTTCTGAATTTGGGAAGGACATGGGGTACTCACTCACCCTATTTCCCACCAAACCAGGGGACTCGCAAGAAATGTTCACCGCAGCTCATGTGCTGCAATGAGCTTCTGTTATGCAAAGGCCCGTTCACTCGGGCCCCCTTTGTCGGGAGCAATGATGATGGCTGACATGAGCTTTGAAAACGGCACATGTTGGTATGTTTCGTCTTTGCCAAGTGGGGTCTCCAAGACCCCTTGGCACAAAACCCATGAGCATGTTGCTACCGACGGCACATTCTCTCGAGCACTTCAGGCAAAGATGATCCTCCTTTTGCGCTCCGGCAGCAAGGGTTGCTCCAGGTGAATTCCACTACCCCGAAACCCACCGAGAGTGGACCCACCGAGAGAATGGGAACCCCGAAAAGCGGGATATACCAATGCAGCGGTATCGTGGCTACTTGTCCAGCCGGGCTTTGTTTTGGGGGGGGAGGGTTGGGAACTGGTTTGTCTGTTGAGAGGCAGTGTTCGTAGACTGCCACCGAGGCTCGCTCTCAATCATATGATTGCTTGCGCCTTCGATGCAGAAGCGCGACGCTTTTCTGTTTGGCAGGCAGTTGTTGTCAGGATGTTTGACTGCCATGGCGAAATACATGTGAGAACACGTCATTCGCCTTTGTCACCTGTGTTTGTTTTTCCATTTCATGCCTTTCAAGTCGCCTTTGTCATATCACGGGGATGCCGTATTCAGGCATTGGAGCATTCCATTTCTGCTGGGTAACGAAACATCCTGTGACAAAGAATCATCACTTCAGTGTTGAAAGAAGCGCTAGGGGTTTCCACTGCATTCTGCTGCAATTTGTCTGTTTCAGTGCGAAGAAGTACCAACAGGAAAACAAAGGTGGAAAACTCGACAAGAAAGTCAAGTAGCAGGCAAACAATCAAATGACATAAACTAGCCTTTGTTTCGCAAGGAGGCACTCTTAAGGGGACACAATCTGAGAAATCCACATTTGTTGCGACGACATGGGCGCTACCATGGAGATGCAAGCAAAGGTGTTTGGTATGCGCTGTCATTGACGCTCTATCAAGCTGGAATCCCAGCCTGGGTCGCAGCTTGGTTGCATGTGCAAAAGCGACATTTTGCTGCGCTGGATGTCTGTGTGTGTACAGATACTTCGATGTGTATGAATATATTGATATATTGTAATATATACATATATACACATGTGAAAGAGAGAGAGAGAGAGGGAGAGGGAGAGAGGGGGAGAGAGCATCTCACACTAGATTGCATCCTCGCATAAGGACTCCAGCGGCATGCTGAATACCGAATGGGAGTCTTGGCCAGGCAGTCGTTTTCTTGTTGCTTACTCAGTGGAGCAATGAAGCAGAGAGTGCGTTGGCGAGTTTGGTCCGTCCAACATGTTGTGCTTTCCAATGCAAGATCAAGCCAGAGGAGCATATGATGGGCAGATGGTTTTCCAAATTATAAGTATCGAAGTGAACATTTGACACAGCGATGTATTTCAAGGTTCCTTCAACTTGCTTGGCACAGCTGCAATTTAGGACAACCGCTATGTGTCGAGCTTTCACTGGTCGATCACGCAGTTCACCCCGGCGTCCAAGCCGCCAATTCAGCCTGCCAACACCGCACCTGGGCAAATTGGCGATATGGGAAGTTGTCCAACTCGTTGGAATCCCCTTTTCTGCTTTTGTCGCAAGCAGAGGAAAAGCTCGCCAGCTGCAGGGAAACCGCCGCTTTTTCTTGTCAAACATGGCAGTTTGAGCGAGGCTGAGCGCACCTTCGCCATTTTCGTGGTGGCCACTTGTCAGCAGATGAGCTTACCGGTTACCCTTGTTTTTGCAATGCATGCGCCGAAGCTGACACCTTGACGGTTTACGGTTTACAGCTGTGTTCCTCTTCTTCTTTCTTCTTCTGTTTCTTCGTCGTCTTCTGCTTCTTCCCATCCGATGTTTGAAACTGAGTGTTCTGCGCGCCCGCCATCCTGCTTTTATTTCACTGTATGCGTGTGAGTGATCCAAGACCCACGTGTCGAGGGTATCAATTGTTTGTTGCTTCAGGGAAGCCAAGACCAAAACCGAAGCCATTCTGGGATCCCCGGAAAAAGACACTGGTCCCAGCCTATCAAGAGTCATGTGCCGACCCGCAGGTCTTTGCTTTGGTGGGCTTCTCCTACGTCGTTGGCAGCATCCTAGGCACCTTCAGCTGAGAATTCTCGAAAGCAGAGCTGGCATCATGTGCTTTCCTGAGGCCACCCTGTTGTTGAGGGCCTGCAGGGGATGAAATATGCTGGGGTCCACCTATTTCGACACATACTTCATGGGTATGCGCGAAACATCCTGGAGCCTCTGGCTTGGTCCTCAAAACAGACTGCCGTCCAACAGAACGCGACCCGAAGGGGCCTTGTGGCTTCCCTAACCTGAACCGGATGCCACTTACCCCATGCGCAAAGAATCCTGGAGCCTCTCGGCGTTGCTGGCTTGGCTTCCCTTGGACCAGGTTCGCTGGCGCAGCTCCGCAGCATGACGGAGCAGTCAGCAAAGGAGGGAGCCGGTTCGGGGGTTGCAGGCCCTGCCGCCCCTTGAAAGGGAAAGCAGAAGGGGCCGTAGAAGTACAGGAGGTTGGTTGAGCAAATAAATGAAGGTGGTTCAGCATTGAATTTGTCAACAGGTTTGTACAGCTCGCTAGCCTGTTTAGCATGTGTCAACAGGTTTGTACAGCTCGCCAGCCTGCGTTGCCGCCTTCTGCCGAGCTGACAAGCTTGCACTCCCAAGGGAAATGCTGGCAAAGTCCCCAGGAACTCAAATGGAGACCGCGACGGACATGGCCCGCACGGTGTTTGAATCATCTCTGACGCCCGCAGGACTTTTGGATGATGCGCCGATTTTTGAGACGGCCGCCTGGATGCAGGGGGAGGAGGTTGGCTGCATTGCAGTCGCCTTCGGTTTTCCTTCACTTTCTTTGACTTCCTTTCGCTTTCTTGTTCTTTGGCTTTTTTGGCTTCCGTTGCTTGTGTTGGCTTCTTTTGTCCAGGTTTCCTTTGGCTTGTTGGGTTTCTTTTGGCTGTCGCTCCCGACAAAGGTCTCTGTTGGCTTGCGGCTTTTTGGTTGGGTTTCCGCGGGCTGCGATTTTATTTTTTCCGCTTCCCCTTCCCCGTCGCCGTCCAGGAATCACGTGCCCATGGAGCTGGCCTCGCGGATCCAGAGATTCGTGGAGCACGCGCACTCGCAGCAGCAGAAGAAGATGTCCATCAAAGCGGCTCTGCCGCAATTCACATTTGGTGGGTTGGATCTCAAAAACCAAACGCCTATTCCTCAAGATGGTCCCTGAAAAAAACCGGGTGTTGGTACCCTTCACCATTTTTTTGCTGGTGGTGTTGTTTGGTTGGGATCTCAAAAACCAAACGCCTTTTCCTCGAGGTCCCTGAAAAACACGGGTGTTGGTACCCTTCGCCATTTTTTTTGTTGGTGGTTTTGTTTGGTTTGGATCTCAAAAACCAAACGCCTGGTTCCTCTCACCCACTAGGCACCAGACCAGGAGATGGCACCTTCTCCCTTAGTGGTCTTATTTCGCCTTATTCCCCTCCCCCACTTAGGTGGCATTCACAATGGGGGGACCAGACGCCCTATTCCTCTCACCCACTTAGGTGGCACCAGACCGGGAGATGGTCCCTCCAAAAAACTGGTCTTGGTACCCTTCAGTTTGGACCTTGGGGACCAAAACCACCAATCCAAAGCCCTTAAGGGGTACCTGGGCAACGGACTCGTCCGATCGCGCCCTCTGTTTGGAGCAAGACTTTCCTGCATGTGTGTACAGCCTAGAGTGAGTTGCAAGCGACTCGACCTCTGAACCTATGAGTGCACCAAGAAGATTCCTATGTAATTTTGAGGCAACCCCCAAGAATTGGTGGGTGATTCTTTTGGTTGTCCAAGCAGAGGGCTGCTGACCTCAGGGTTCCTTCCGATCGTGACCGGACTAAGGAAGTGAAGGCACGGCTGGGTGTTTCGGAGGAAAAGGGGGGTGCGATGGAAAAGGGATTCAGCTTGAAAAGCCTCAAAGGAGAGTTGGTCCAACGATCACTCGGAAAAACCGGCTGGTTTTTGGACGTATCTTGCGAGCCTGAAGGGCGTGGGCTGGGGAGGGAGAAGGAGGGAGGGAGGGAGAGGGAGGGAGGGAGGGAGGGAGAGAGAGAGAGAGAAGAGCTTGCTGCCTTCCTGCAATCTGGAAGCTTAGTTGGGGACTTCTATCCCCGCCATAGTTGCACGTAATCCGCGCTGTTTTTTTTCTTCACCACGTGTCTTGTGATAGACTCATTCAATACCAGGCTTCGAGTACGACTTGATTGCCAGCTGGAAAGTGGCTGCAAGCCGGAGTGCCACAAAGCTGGTGGTTTTGTGTTCTAAAGTCTCTCCAACCACTTGAGTAGCGCCCTAAAACGTCTTGTTGTTTAGCCGTTTAGGTGGTCCGACTACCATGGGTGATAGCAAGGGCTATGAATCTGGCGTGAGCATCTTGATACGAGGTGAAATGTGTCAACTCCCTTTGCAAGAGGATCTGGGGAAAAATCAGAGATGCTTTTTTACCCTCCCATCAATTAACATGGAACCAATGGAACCTGACGTTCCGGGGGGTCCTGGTTTGGACCATTTTCCCTTCAAAGGGACCGGGCGCCCGGCAGTTTAGGAGGCTAATCAGTTTCGGTTTCCGCGATTTGCCCTTAAAGATGGAGCCTTGTATGGGGATCTGGGAAAAAGAGCAAAGGGATTCATTGTCTTCTGTTCATTGTCTTCTGGGTTCTTCAGGGTTTGGGTCTCCGCTCACGTGCCTCACTTTGAAGGTTCTGGGCTTGCTGTCTGGGGGCCTCATGGAGGAGCTTCAGTGCGTCGGGCACCCAGTCGGGTCAAACACCGCATGGCCAAAGGTGGTCGATGTGTGTATGGGCCTGTGTTCTTTAGGGGGCCGAGAAATGTGTTCTTTCCAGAAGATCCAAACAAGTAGAAACGGGAACCATTAAGCATGTGTGTGTGTGTGTTTCCTTTTTCTTTCCAGAAGCTCCGAACAAGTAGGCTGGAACCGCTACCAGAGCAATGGTCAATAGTTACTGGCGGATGGGGCACACGAGCCCAAAGTACCTTTAGGAAAGCGGAGGGGGTTACTCACCAAATCCCGTGTCAGCTGGGGACATACGTTGGTTGCCTATATTGACAGACTACCTTATTCTTAGACTATAACAGTGGTCCATCCAGCATTGGCAAAAGGATCTTGCGTGGTGTTTGAGATCCGGACAAAAGAGTCTCAAGGTCTTGCCATATGGGAAGTCGTGTTGCGCAAAAGAAGAAGAAGCCCGAATATAATGTCTCCTGATGCTCGCAGGCCATGAATATGCCGCACATGATGGTGCATCCGCTCTTCGCTTTCTTGAGTGAATTCTCAGCGCCTCGGACTCTCAGGGGGGTTAGTTGGATCGCTTGCAACTTCTTTCCGCTGGTTGTTGCAGTGGCCTGACCACGTGTTTTTGTTTTTTACACGCGGGTGGCGATGGAAATAAAATGGCCAGCGTCAAGGCAGTTTTGCATGGTTGCCCTGAGCTGTGGTATGCTCGTATTGAACCATGGCAGTCGGTCTTTGCTTTAGGATTAACTTGATGTGCTCCAGAACAGCGGAGGGAATGCAACCAGACATCCCTTTAAAGGCATCCGTTGAATGAAGTCAAAGTAGTCAAGATCCCGGTTTAGAAGGCCATGCCTCATGCCAAGGTCAAAAATCTCTTTTGAGGCAACCGTAAGAGTTCCAACGAAGGGAGTGACCATTGCCCGTATGGCCGTCATGCGCCACTCCAGCTTGCCCTCAGGTCATCACTGTGCAGCGGTTGGCCAAAGAGGCCGTGCATCGTGCACAATTGGCACGCGGAGACACGACACTTGGTGGATGAAAAGCAGTTGCTGCTTACCTGTCAACAAGCAAGACGTCAATCATGAATCATGATTGACAAACAAGTCCTTGAGAGTGCTGAATTTTATCCAGCTGAGTGATGCTGAGAGATGACACCAGGGTGAAAGTAGAGGGCACAATTCCCTTTATGTGAGAAAGGGGGACGACGATTTACCGGGAATTGCAGCATCTACTTTCACGCAACTGTCACTGTAGCTGAGGCAGTTTCTACCCAACCAAGAAGGTAGTTTCATGTATTTCATCGCTGGCGGGAAGATGCAATACATCAGGCCGGGTGCTGCACTGGCCAAATCATCCGCGAGTAGTTTGTTGCGAGCGAGAATGGTTGTGAGATTCATGTTAGGGTTAAACGGTCGATTTTAGGGGGACTCTTTGATCACCTTGAGCGGGAAAATTGAAGGCTGGGGATAACGCTCATGAGAGCCATGTGAGTGTGAGTGTGTGTGTGTGTGTTTTTGCAGCAAAAGGAAACCATTCTGTGGGGGTTCCAATTCGATTTGGTGACCCGTCGCAGGGATGGAGATAGTCCAGACCCGCGAGTGGAAGTGGTGGACAAGGGTGAGGACTTGAGTTGACCAAAAGACTCTGGTTGTCTTTTGGTAACATTACAAACATGGGGTACCCATGGTACCCTCAAAAACAAGGTGGAGACGTTAATTCTGACCCCGCGTGTTTTTGCCTCCGGCACCTCCACGCTCGGGATTGTTCATACTGCAACTCCCACGCAGGCCACGCACGCAAATGCTGACGCTTTTGAAGCAAAGGGTGTTTCCATTGGCAGAGCCAGTTAAAAAGTCACCTGAACACTACGCTCTAAGGGGGAAAGCGACAAGGAAAAAGACAGGGGTTCCGGAAAAAAGCAGCAACCGAGAACAGTTTGGTCAGGCATGGTTTCTTGGAATGTCATGGGCATGAGTGGTCCTAAGTGTGTCTTCATCTTGGCAGCCTGAAACCTGCCGGTGCGTCATGCTTTTGTTTCCCGAAACAGGAAGGCAAAGGGGCATCCGTTGAAAATGGATTGGGCTGAGGTCAGGTCTGCGTACGCGGCTCAAAAGTTGGCACGGATCAAGGCACCAACAGCCTGCCACAGGCATGCTGCCTGATTGTGCCTGTACTGGGCATCATAGACGTAATCCCAAAGGCGAGAGCAACACACATCATATCTCTATATAAATATGTAAGTCTAAATATATATATATATATATAATGTGTGTATCTATATAAATATATCTTTAAATATCTATCTATATACATATATATATATATGTGGGTGCTGCGCGGATGTGTGTGGTGTGCACGCGTGCCTGGGCATCGGACCTGTCCACGATCTTCGCCTGTGTGCACTGGCGTGTATGTCTGTGCGCGCAGTCAAGATAACGTGCCCCCAAACCGAAGCAAAAGAAGTGGGTCGCTTCTG